GGGGAGTGGAGGGCACGGCCTGGGCGCCTGACCAGCGGCGTGGGAACAGTCCTCTGGGAAAGCGCCATCTTGGGGGTGGGGGGGGGGACCGACCGGACCTTTTTCTCATGGACCGAAAGAGACGCTCCCGAGCCGTGTTTGCGGCATGTTTCGGGATGATTTTAGTATAGATGTAGCTTCGGTGCCCGGGCCAGGGGTTGGTACCTAGTGTGAGTTGAATGACTGCGTGAATGAACGAGCGATGCGGGATGGCGGGACCCACTGCCTGCTCTAGGTCTCACAGCCTTCTCTATCTGTCACTTCCCGTCCTGGGGACTGGAGATCATCCCCGCTGGGGAGCGATGTGAGGTGAGGCGGCAGTTGGCTGCCGCAGCACGTACTCCGGGATTCTGGGATGCCCAAATCCCAAAGCTGAAACTCACCAGGATCTTCCAAGTGTAATAAACACCAGCTTATGTGACGAACTCCGGCCCGTTGGCTTACTTTGAGAAACACACAACATGCTTTTTTGCCATGAACAGAACTTTACCCCGAAAGTACACACTGTTGGAGACGAAGTGCCATTTTCAGAGCTGGGTAGATTGTAGCTGGACAATTCGCCCTTGCGTGTCTACTAAGTGTCAGGCACTGGCGACCCAGCAGCTAACGCAAGACAGGTACAACTCAGCAGACTTATGGTGGTTGGTAAATGGTATATGTTGAGGTTTTAAGAGGATGGAAACTAGTTCTCAAATGTATACACCTCGGGACTGATTTATTTTCAGAAAACTTATTGAAGACCCCAGACAACCGGTTTGTGTGCATTCTATTTCTTGCGGTCTGCTGCATGAAAATTGAAACACTTAAAAATATTAATTCATCTAAAAATAATAGGCACGTGTGTAAACATAAATATAGGCGATAAGTCTGGGGTCTGCAAAAATCCGGGCTCCCTACATAGGTATGAAAATGATCATTTCCACCTTCCCAGCCGTTTTTAAACATAACTTTTTCTCTTTTCAAGCCCATTTCTTTTTTCATGAAATTCCCTGGGGTTGGAGGCAGGGGAATCATCTGGAGAACTGAACTTTATTTGCGTTTGTAAAAATCACTTTTTACTGTGAGCTGGGTGAAAGTTTAGAAAGCAGACCATCAGCTTTCCATTCGACATTCCGTACACATTCTGTTTTGTTTCATTTGTTGCAATCCCCTCCATGTAACCTTACTCATTCCACTTCCTCCCTGTGTTTTCCTGTTCCTACTCCTTTCCTAACCTTTTTTGAACTTTGTTCTTGGTAAATGTTGCCCTTTGGAACTCAGGCGGTTGATTATTCTAAAGTGAGGGCACCTCACTAGTGTTATTCCCCTTATAGACCTGACAGTGGTGTAGGTGAAAATCCAGCCCCAGGGGTGAGAGATGAAGGGTAACTAAGGCTTATAGTCTCAGAAACTCCACAAGTCTATATCGAACCAGTAAGCCTGGTCTCTTTTAACTTGTGTACCTTTTTATTGTATAGATAATATGAGCTTTATTAGACTCATTTAAACACTGGAAAATATTTCTTCCTGGTTCCCAAAATAGTGCACAGCTGTTTCAAGCCATGTGTTACTGGGTTCTCATTTCATTCCTGAGTGAGCTCACGGCACGGGTGAGAACATGCTACACAGCCCTAAAGAAGATGCGGTTCTGAGCTCCTGCTATGCCCTAAATCTCCTTCTGAGCAGGTAGCCCAAGAGGTTCCCTGTGACCCAGGCACCCAGGCCCAAAGACTATTGCCAGAAGCCTTGACAGTGACTTGGTAGGGCAGCTCAGCATTCTAGATTGCCTTTGACGAACTGAGCCCAAGGGAGCCTCTCCCAGGAAGTCTGATTCCGAGCCAGATAAAAAGAGAGTGGTCAGAGTAGCAGCGAATCAGGAATTCCCACGTAGGGAAGTCCACAAGAGAACAGATGACTGATAGAGATGTTCTCTCAGCGTGAGCGGAGAAGCCAAGGCAGCAACAGAGGGTCAGAGTCACCATAATACTGGAGTACGAAGCATACTCACACCTGAAAGGACCTGAGTCTTGGCCATGAGACCTGACCATCGTAGTCCCAATGATGTTACTGACTCTGTGAAACTGGGGTCCTGTTAGTTCTCATTTTTCTGTGCATCTTTAGATTAACATCCAGCTGCTGTCTACGGCCATGCCACTCGAACACGCCGATCTCATCTAAAATCCAGCTGCTTGGAAAGTCACTTCAGACTGCTGGCACCCCCATGCGTTTCTGAGTAGCACTGTGCTCCCCAGGGGGTTGCTGTGGCTGACTTCTCAGTAGATTACCTGGCCTATCTTCTGAGGTGCCTCCTGGTGGACTCGAACCTCCCACCTTTCACTTAGAGTGTTAACTAGAGAGTAACATTGAGATACTCTGGGGGTTTCATAAAGACCTTGGGTGGCACAAATGGTTTGCACTCAATTACTAACTTAAAGTTTGGCGGTTGGGTTGAACCCACCCAGCAGTGCCAATGAAGAAAGGCCTGGCAATCTACTTACACAATGATGACGATCAAGAGAACCCATTGGGCAATTCTGCTGTAGCACACGGGGTTGCTGTGAGTCAGAAGCAACTCAATGGCAGTGGATTTTTGAGATTTTCTCAACCTGTGTTTTTCAAGAGTTTTTGGTAACTCATGGAAACACTTAAGGTACCAAGTAAAGGTGGTGGTGGTGGGCCAGCTGGTTGATTGTGTCTCATAACATCCCTGTAGAAGAGAGTAGCACTAGCTGCTAAGGTTTTCTAAGCTGTAATCTTTACAGGCGCTATCAGGTATTTCCTCCCACAGAGCAACTGGTGGGTTCTAACCACTGACTTTGCAGTTAGCAGCTGAGCACTTAACCATTGTGCCACCAGGACACCTTTTAGCAAGTAAAGGAGACCCACCCCCCAAATAAAATCCAAACTCACCGCCACCGATGAAATGCTGTCCCCTAGCGCCCCCGTGTGGGTTTCCAAGACTTTATGGGAGTTGAAAGCCCAGTCTTTCTCCTGTGGAAACTCCTGGTGCTTTGGAACTGCACACACTGTAGAGCCATGGTTCGCTACCTTCCTAACGCCGCGAGCCTTTCATACAGTTCCTCATGTGGTGGTGACCCCCCTCAACCATACAATTATTTTAATTTCTACTTCATCACTGTCATTTTGCGACTGTTATGACTCGTCATGTAAATATCTGATAGGCAGGATGTATTTTCATGGTTACAAATTGAACATAATTAAAGCATAGTGATTCATCACAAAACAATGTCATTATAGATTGTGAAGTATTTATTTCTAATGACAAATAAATGAAATTTTGTCTTGAAGCATGGTGTAGCACGGCTAACAGTTTTCATGCTGGATACTCGTATGTGGGCGTTCTGCATGTGGGCGGACCCACCTGGAGACGGATAGAGGAGCGGTGTCTCAGTTCCTAAGGCCATTGGAAATATATGTTTTCCGATGGTCTTAGGCGATCCCTGTGAAAGGGTTCTTCAACACCCCCCCATAGGGGTCGCAACCCACAGGTTGAGAACCGCTGCCCTGTAGGGATCCCAGCCCAACGCAAAACCACTACACTACCAGGGCTCCTGAGTAAAGGAGTGGGAAGCCTAATTATTAGAATGACAGTGGCTACTGGATGGGTCTTGTGAGTGGCTGCTGTACCTGGGAGGGTCCCAGGCATCTCTGAATATCTGCTCGAATCTTCTCTCTCTGATCTTGGAAAGGAATGATCCTGGCCTGCTCGGCTGCAGCCATCTCGGTGGATAAAAATATAGTAACCTATGAAAGCAGACAGTACTTGACTGCAGAAGTCACCTTCTTCACCTTCCCAGTTGTGAAACACAGGAGGAGTGGATGCACAGTGATAATAATTGCTATAAGGCGTTCAGGGAATGTAAGGGAGGGGATGTGGGCATAGTGAGGGAAAGGGGGCTTCGGGAGTAAATCATGAAGGCGGCTGTGGGGAGGGAGCCCTGGAGCTGATCAGGATTGCACGGCTCATTTTGGGGGGTGGTTCAAACACGGAGGGAGGGAATGCTTTAAGGTGGATGTGGTAGTGATTGTACCATATGATCGAATGATTGTACTATTCAATTGTATGATATGTAAAGTATGGGCCGATAAAACTGTTGGAAAAATTTAAAAATAAAAAAAGAAGAAATCACCTATCTGCCCTAGGAATAGTTCCTAGAATTTTGCTAAACTATCCAAAAGGCATTTTTAAAAAATGGACTCATTCCATTTCACCTTGTTTATGAGTTTTTCTGCCCCACTTCCTGTGACAAGACCAAGTGGAAACAAAAGCAACTCCTTTTCTCAGAATGCCTGGAGATCCGAGACGTAAAATGTTTCAAACTCCGGAACTTGGATTGAGGTAGAAACGGAGCAAAATAGAGAAGGGCAAAACACCCCCCCCAAAAAAACCCTCCTCCCCCATTGATCCTATCTCACCCGTATTCAGGATCTTCTCCAAAGAAATGAAATCTTCCATAA